CTCGAGGCGCCAGCGCCCATGGCGAGGCAAGCGAGGCGCACAGCGGAAGTTGGGTGGAGGCCTTGCCCAGTCACTTGATTTCATGGAGGCATAGGGCGGTGTAGGGTGAAAATATATGTCGAGGAGATTCAATGACACATGATTTGAACGGGTTAGCTGTTCAGCTCAGTTTGCCACGGCGCAAAGCATCCTTGTTTGGCCGAAGCCGCCGTCTTGGTCGTATGTTGGGCCTGACAGCAATGGTCGAGATCCAGACACTCCAGTCGAGTGGCCATTGATTCATTCCCGCACACTCCACACCGCGCAACCACTCAACCACTCAACCACTCCCTTGGTTCGGGCGAGGTAGGCGAAGTCCTTGGCCGAGTAGGTGGCGTGCATGGGCATTTTGTACCTGGACGTCGCCAAGCGCCGTCGGGTCATCACGCCGAATGGGAACGTCCCATTTGTTCGCCACGCACCAGTTTGGCAGCAGCTTAGGTGGTGGTTCTCCGTCTTGGTCCTTCCGGACAAATGGGCGACCACGGCGAAAACGTCGGTCCCTTTTTCCGTTAAAAGCCTTGGACACAAAAAAACGATCCGAAACGGGCGGCACGGCAGCGGCTCTTCACGTCCAAAACACGTCCACCCCCATTCCACACGAAACGTGTGTTCGGCCGAAGACCCCTGCGACCGGTCTCGCAGTGATGGAAATGAAGGCGGAAAAGGTCGAGGTGAACAGCTCCTCCGGTCCTTTTCATTGAGTTTTTGGCTGTGAACTGCCCCTGAGGCATGCTGGCGTTGACAACCAGCCGCGCGCAAGTTGCAGTCGGACAGGCCAGCGCCGGTTTTGACCAGTCACGAAATAAGAGGGGGCAGAGGCAGGGAGCCAGATGGAGATTGGGGATTGGTTCTTCACCATCCTGGCCTGCGTTCCCTCCTTACAGGGCAAGCAAAGACGAGACCAAAAACAACCGCAGACACTCCACCACCGAAAGCGCGCAAAAAGGCCGGGAGCCTGAGGGTGGAACGGAAAAGACGAGGGCACATGCATGGGGCAAGCCGTGGAAGCGGGCATCGACAAGCAGCAGCGAAAGTGCCACAGGGCCAGCGGGAGAAACCACAGCCAAGGAAGTTGCAAGTGCAGCATAAGGAGAGCCAAAGCGCGGGGAGGCACGAAGCAAAACCCAGAAGAAGCGCACAGGTAGCGCAGACAGAAGGGAAGGAAGGCAGGAACACACAGCCAATGCCCGGGAAGGCACAAAGCCAAACCCAGCAGCAGCGCACATACAGAAGGGACACACGCCCCCTCGCCCCCCCCCCCCCCCCCCCCCCCCCCCCCCCGTTCAAGCCCTTGAAGCCCTTCGAGCCCGTGAAGCCGCCCCCCCGAAGAGTGCTTCGGATCCACCCCCATGGAAGACTCCACTCCCATCTTCCATCCCCCCCCCCCTGTCGGCTATCGAGTTTCATGGGTCGTGGTGTGCGTGTGTGTGTATGTTTTGGAAGGTTCGTCTAGATAGATTTGTCATGCCAGTCAATAGTCGAACATGCTCCGTCTACTCGCTGTACCGAGCGCAACTGCATTGTGGATCCCACCGCTGCAGGAAGTGAGCAGACCTGCAAAGGACCGGTCTGAGTGACGTGCATGCAAGTCTATATCGGCGGTGTCAGGGCATGTCTGGCGAATTTGGTGACGCAGGTTCCGCACACAAGTGGCGTTCACGTCTGCAAGGTTGAGATAGATCGGCTGAAGCCGTGTAAAAGAATGAAAGCAGGGGCTCTTTTGCTTGCTCAAAAAAGGAGCCTATCCACCCAGTCAGTGAATGTAATCCGGCCACCTAAGCCATAAACCGCAAACCTGAGAAGTGTGTGGCGCTGAGTCTTACAGGTCCGGTATGGTCCACGTAGATGCTTTGCAAACTTGAGGTGCCGCGCCTGCTGCCGGGAGGGTGCAACTCGACCGCGGTTTAATGGATTGCTTGTCGTGCCATGAAAATGCCACACAAAAGCTGCGACAGCTGAATGGTTGCATTTCGCAATATGTTCGAAGTTGGGGTCTAACCCAGATGCCCCTGCAAATCCCCAACATGCAATATTCCTCCCCCTACCAGTCACGGTCACTTTAGCAAACTTAGCAAAACGCTGCGAAATGTATGGCTTCCAACATGTTCGAGGTTCTGTGAAATTAGGGGGCGGAAGGAATGTAGTCATCCCTACGTTGGCGTACTGATAGACCCTTGTACATACATATCTATATATATATATATATTGTTTTACTTGAAAAGGTGTCTCGAGCTGGGCCAACCCCTCACTTGTGACTATGAAACCTTCTCACTTGTGACTGTTTTCTTTTCTCACTTGTGACTAAATTATCTTCTCACTTGTGACTCTTTTAAGCGCACTTACGACTACAAATTTTCAAAACCGCAGCTCCCGCTCGAGAGGCATCAAAAACTCACTTGCGTCTTTTTTTTGGGGGGGTGGCTCACTTGTGACTATTGTGTAGTCACAAGTGAGCCTTGATTTGGGGGAAATAGTTACAAGTGAGCGGGAGGCGCTGCTCAGCACAGCGGTGGAAAGGACCTGCTCCCCGACAAACCGGGGTGTGCTGGGGGGGGAGATAATAGCTTGTTCCACATGCTGCTCAACAACAGCGAGGTGTGGAGGGGTGGACGTGCTCCCCAACAACAGCGGGCTGTGGTGGGGTGGGGGGGGGGCTTGATGATAGCGTGTTGGGGTGTGGGGTGGGGGGGGGATTCTGCTCAACAACAGCGTGTTCCACGTGCTGCTGAGCAACAGCGGGGTGGAAAGAACGTGCTTCTCGACAACAGCGGGGTGTGGGGTGGGGGTTGAGAATAACGTGTTCCACGTGCTGCTCAACAACAGCGGGGTGTGGAGGGGTGGGTGGAAGGGGGGGGGGGGCTTGATGATAGCGTGTTCCACGTGCTGCTCAACAACAGCGGGGTGGAAAGGACGTGCTTCTCGACAACAGCGCGGTGTGGGGTGCGGGAGGGCGAGTTGGTGTGAAGCATGCAATGCAACTCGAGGAAGAGAGAGAAACTTTGAAGAATCGGAAAAGAAGCATGATGGCTCGCTAATCTCAATGGACTTCAAGTTCACAGGAACAAGAGATGCAGAAAATGCAAAAGGAGTGAAAGATGCACTGTGTACTAGCCGTGATGGTTGATCAAGAGACAAAGTTTGTGCATGTGATTCCTGTACGGTCGAAAGAAGTGACGAAGTACTTGATTGAAGAAGTTTGCAGAGTACTGATGTTGTTCGAGAAGAAGGTGATCTTGAGAACGGACACCGAACCAGCGATGATTTCGTTGAGAAGAAAAGTGGAACTGATTAGAAAGAAGCAAGGTTTGGAAACAGAGACACAAGATGTAGCGCCAGACCAACATCATAGACTACAAGTTGAACGATGGGTTCAAACTGTGAGGAACCTGAGCAGAACCTTGATCTATGCGGCTGAGAAAGAAGAAAAAGTAAAGATTAGCTCGGAAAGCACGACACGCAGCATTTCGTTTGACAAGGAGTTTTGGCACCATGGGGAACATGCGTTGTGGGGGAACCGTTGCCAATGGTCAAGGTGAAAGCTGGATGAAAGGGTCTTCGTTGGAAAAAGATTTCGTGAGCAACATGAACTTGGTAAGCGCGAAGAAAGGAATCGTCAGAGCAAGAAAGATCAAAAGGTGTACCCCGGCGATACATGTCGAGGCTTTAGTTGAAGCAGCAGGGACACGTCAAGGAGAGGAATTGAGCCAATTGGAAGTGTTCAGCTACCACTTCCAGAGCCGGAACAACGAAGTCCAAGTCAACTTGCAGGAAGTGCAGAAGAAGAAACGCCAACGCAAAGTGAAGGCGAAATGGATGAAGATGGAAGTGGTGATGACAATGATGAAGATCCAGGTGAAAGGAAAAAACCTCGATCAAGCGCAAGCTTACTGAGCTATGAACCTTCGAGTGAAGAATTGGTACTAGATGAAGGCGGATCGCCAAGCACAAAGAGAGATGTTGTTGAAGCAGAACTTGAAGAAACCGAGCAAGAGACGAACAGATGAGGGCAATGGAACAGTTGAAGAAAATCCTCACAAGTATCGAGCAACTGTGAGACGGGCTGATGAACAACAAGATTGGATGGTGAAATGCCGATCAACTTGCCAAGCCCCGGATTCACCGACTCATGAGCAGAAGAAGGAGCAGAACAGTACGAAAGTTATGTTCGAAGAATCACGATGATCCGGAGCGTTGAAGAAAATGAATCCGTACCTGAAGAAAGAAGTTCCGAAGTACCACGACGATGAAGTAGAGATGGAAGAACTGGAAGAAGTCGCAGAGTTCCAAAACGAAGAGAATAAGGAGATCCCTGAGTACTGCAGGAATGGCCCTGTTGTCTCACGTGGCATGGAAGTGTTGTCAAGTGGAAAAGATTTCGAGAAGAGGACAACGTTCATGAAAGACAAGAAGCTTAAGTTTGAAAATCGAGAACCGATCAACAAGCAAGGTGGAAAATTCGGATTCTTGAAAAAGAAGCTTTGAGGTGAAAGACGTTTGAAGTATGGAACAAAGTACCGTGCCCAGCAGATGACAAGAGAGTTAGGCTATATATATATGATCCTGCAGTGGAAGGATCGATTGGACGTAGGTGTGCGGTCGAAGCCACCTGGGAACATGTGCTTCTTGACTGTGACTGGTGGAAGGAGAAGTGCCGGAATGGTAGAAAGCCTATTGCTTGTAAGAAGTGAAACGCAAGACAACGCATCATCCAAAAAGACAACAAAAAAGCCAATCAAACCACCCATACAAAAACACCAAGCTGAAACGGTTTCTCTTGCGTGTGGTGTGTTGTTCTGTGCTGTTTGGCTGTTCCCGGTGGCAGACCAAAGTCACGCACAAGACAAGCAACTACTTGTGTTCCAAAGTACCAAGTGCAAGCAACCCCTTCACAACACAGCTCACCTTCGCGTTTAAGCACCATGAAGCCGTGACCAGAGCTAAAAACGCCTTTCTTCTTCTTAACAAGGAAGGAGTTCCACCCAAAAGAGTTGCTGCGCTGAATAGACGCAAGCTTTAAATAAGACTTGTTCTGGCAGCGCAGAGATCGGCTTGTGCTGTTTCAGCTTCTGCGTAAGCCAGCCAAGTTCTTTTCTCTGTTTTCTCAAAGTATTTTTGCCAGGACTGGCCAGGCTTTCAATCTTGGCCTGAGCATCTTCTAGATCATTGCGTCTCCACGGAAGCAAGTACTTCTGCAGGAACGCTCTCATCTGTGCAAGAAAACAACTTGCATCCAGCACGGATGCCATCATTGGCGGTATTCCTCTGCAAGCGACCTTGGCGCTCTCCACTTTCCCGCACGGGCAAGTGTTAAAGACGCGGTGCTGCGGGTGAAACTTGTAAAGCATGGACTGTTTGTGTGGGCGCCGTTCCGACGCAGCCATGTGCGCATCCTCCGATTTGCGATACAAAAAGGGGGCACCGCAGAAGGCAACCAAGAAAATATCCAGCAAGATCCTTTACGCAGGAAAGAAAAAGGTTGGTCAGGTTATTTCTGAAGAGTGGCCAGGTCAATTGATAAACCTGGAATCTCAATCAGGAACGGACGGGGCATGTGGCCCTGTGTTAGACTTACTTGAGCACCAAGATGTGACGATTAGCACATAATTGAAAGCATGAATCTTATATTCTTATGCCAAAGATGAAGTCCATGTTCGAATATATGTTGCCGAAACATATTAAAGCAAATTGTTGAAAACAGCAATCTAGATTCAACAGCACGCGGACAGCAATCCCTTGTTTTTCTCTGCCTTCGCAACGCGAAAAGGGGAATGGTACACATCACATCGCGTGGCATGGAGCCACTCCCACATTTCAAACACAAGAGGTGGCATAGAGCCGCCAGCCTTCTTGGGGAATGGTACACATCACATCGCGTGGCATGGAGCCACTCCCACATTTCAAACACAAGAGGTGGCATAGAGCCGCCAGCCTTCTTTCCCCGGGTGGAACAAAAATTTTCGCCAGCTTGCTGCGAGCAAGAACCTTGACCCATTCAACATGCAATTCACATGTAAAAATTCATGCAACAAATCTCATGAGAGTGCATGCACGGGTCAGACGAAAATTCCCAGTAGAACAACATGTAGAACATGGACACAAAAATTCTCATCAAAGAATTTTTGAGTTCATCTGGCATAAAACGCTGTCACACAAGTGTGAAAGCTTGCTTGTTTTGTATCACGGATCCATGTATTGAGCTGCTCGGTGCCACTTGTCCATGGACCGGCTGTTCTTGTGCGTTCTTGTTGTGCAAACGCAGGGGACGGGGGATCACGTCTGCCCGCAAGAAACGCAACAGCCGGAGGCACGTTTAGCTGTATATCCAGAAGGGTGGCTTTGCAAGAGTTTTTTTTTGGACTGACGCCTCTTTACTACATCAGTAGCACAGTAGGCCGGTCTTGTTGGGCTCGACGTAAAGGGTGAAACAAAGTCAGCGCACACAATCCGCCAGGCACACCAAGCAACCACCAAGCAAACAAACACCAAAGAAACAAAGCGAGCAATCGCGCTGAACTACTAGATACCCCACGGACTCAGTACTCGAAGTCGTCAATGAAGTCCCGGTTCACAAGGAAGCACAGAGCTTGTGGGGGAATCGCAAATTGCGACATTGCCAGATTCTCAAAACCACCATCATGTAGCCACTGGTGCGACAGCGGTTATTCAAACCGAGGTCATCAGAAGAGGTTCGGATCACGTACTCGTTGTCAAGGACAGACAACCGACACTCAATGGCGAAAGGATGTTGCAAGTCAGACTCCCTAGGGGGGATGAAAGATGTGCATATGCCCCATGGTGGTCAGCCAGTGGGGACTTAACAGCAAGAACAATCAAGGCAAGACCGGCCCAGGGCACTCCATGGTGGTCAGCCAGTGGAGTAGCTCCGAGCTCTGGGTGCTCCATTCACCTTGGCGTACAAGTGCCCACCCAGAGAGGTGTCCGCACCCGGCACAGGGGGCATATGCCCCATGGAGGTCAGCCAGTGGGGACTTGACAGCAAGAACAATCAAAGCAGGACCGGCCCAGGGCACTCCATGGTGGTCAGCCAGTGGAGTAGCTCCGAGTACAGGGTTCTCCAGTCAACCTGGCGTACAAGTGCCCACCCAGAGAGGTGCCCGCGCACGGCCAGAGGGGGGGCGAGAGTAGCTGCAGCTACCGATTCCACGGGGAGAGTCCACAGCGAGTTACCAAACCCTTAACGCCACAGGGTTTATAATGACAACGAGGAACCTCCCAGTCCAGGCATCTCACACAAGGCCACGCAACCTTGGCGCTGGCCTGCGCATCGGCACGCATCAGGTCCCTCCAAACCCAAACCCGCGAGGTACGTCGGTAAGGAGACGGGAGGGCTCACATCACATTGGTGCCGAAGTGCAAGGATCTCCATGGTATTGCTACTTTGATCCAATCAGAGCCTTCAGGTAGCATCCACGCGGGCGGGGAGCCCACTTGCCCTGCCGCAGGCCAAGCTCAGACGAGGGTGACCCTCTAGAGTCTCAAGAGGGCCAGGTTGTTCTACAAGTGGGGAATGGCTCCCTGCCAAGTCAGCGGGTGCATAATCGCCACGTAGAAGTGTCCACAGCCAGCGCGCCGAACTGCTAGGTCACCCTTTGCACTCAGTACTCGAAATCGTCGAAGAGGCCGGGAGCACACATGTAGCACCGAGTGCGCAGGTGCGTCGCAAAAGGCGACGTTGCCAGATTCACAAAACCACCATCATGCAGCCACCGATGCGACTACATTCAGCACCAGCCAAGGCCGTTCACGAGAAGGTTCACAAGTCCGCCCTCACAGGTGGGGCATAGTCGTGCCTTGGCACGGGACGTTGCAGGTGTCAACCTTCTTGATCCGAAGTATAAAGTTGCCCCATGGTGGTCAGCCAGTGGGGACTTAAGGCAAGAACAAAGGGTAGGACCAGCCCAGAGCACTCCATGGTGGTCAGCCAGTGGAGCCTCTCCGAGCACAAGGCGCAACGTTCTTTTGACTCACAAGAGTCTCGTTCGACGGCCAAAGCAGGCTTGACTGCTTCGTTCCAATCAGAGCCATCAGGTAAACCCAAGCAGGCGGGGACCCCACCTGCCCCGCAGGAAGCGGGAGAGTCCCCCAGTCGAAACTTCGCACTCAAGGCCAAGCAACTATCTCCTTGGCCGGTGAGGGTTGAGGGTTCAATAACCAGAATCAGACCCTCCATGCCCAAACCGACAGACGTCGGCGAGGAGATGTGAGGGCTCACATCACGCTTGGCCACCTACCGATGGGGAGGTAGTCATGTATGGCTGCTTTGACGCAAGCAGAGATATACACCCAAGCAGGCAGGGAACCCCGCAGCAACCCAAGCACAGGCGAGAATGGCTCTCGTGAAGGCCAGGTTGTCCACAGGTGCTCGATGGCACATTGCCAGGGAAGTGGAAACCTGATCTCCGCGTAGAAGTGTCCACAGCCCAGAAGCAGCATCCCCTAGCTGGTCTCTCCCAATTGGCATGACGCCGTTGTACGACACGGGGGTGTCACCGTCCAGACGAGAGATGGTCAACACTCAAGTCCGAGGGGTTCACACACGGTCGTAGCACATAGAAGCGGGCAACCAGCCCACCTAGAGGGGGCAGAGGAAAGGAAGATTGGCCGTTTTACCGATGACAAAGCTGGAACATCCAGGCAGGACCGGTCCAGGGTAGTCCGTGGCCGATGGCCAGTGGAGCAACCACGAAAGAAAGGCCCCCCGTTCCCACAGGCACACCGCGGGGCCGACCCAGAAGGGTGTTCACAGCTGCAAGCTGTAAGCACACAAAGGACAAGCACGATCCAATCCGTGGCATAGACCACGAGAGGGTTGCCAAACCAAGAGTATCCCGAGGTAGTCGTGCGGCATGTATCGGTGAGGAGATGTGAGGGCTCACATCACGCTAGGCAGCATGCCATGAAAGGACTCAATGGTGCGTTCGCATGGCGTCAGTAGGAGCCCTCAGATGACAGTTTGCTGTCTATTGCCAGGAGCCATCCCAGTCCGGACGCCGGGAGCGATGGCCAGCTGAGGTGGTATGGGAACGCTTCCCTCGGCTGGGCATGACCTGCATTGGAGGCAGCTCTTGCTCATCAACCCCCCACTCAGGGATGCCGTCCGGAATGGGGATACGCATGTATCTTGTCATTGAGGTTTGGGCCGCGTGCCACATCACCCGGACAGCTTCCTGGATTTGCCTGTACTGCACAACACCTTCGTCCTTATACTGAAAGGGGAAGGAGGTAACTGCAGCACGCAGGGCCGAAGGATCAGGGTCCTTGGGGGTGCCATGACAGTACATCCTAAACCAGAAGCTGTTCGCTGCTTGGTTGGATGTTTGGCTCGCATGAGCCCCTTAATGGCAGCCCAATGAGCAGTGGCTGCGTCATACCACGCATTTTGGGGACGTTGGGGCCCATGCTTGGTGGGTGTGGTGCTGATCCCTTTCCAATGCGCATCAAAGATGACTGGCAGCCGGACATCCACTTCTCGCAAAGCTGCAAGGTCAGTGGTTCGCAGCTCCGAGAAGCGCCAATCATTCACCTGTGCCTCGGGTTCGTCCTCCGCGTCTGACATGTCATCCATCGGGCAGGGAGAGCCTTCTTATTTCCTTATCGGCAATCCTTGAAGGTTATAACTCAAAACAGTCAATCTCAGCAATTTCAATTTCAGAGAATTGATTATCACAAGGATCGAATATTATAGACCTCACCTTAAATATTCAATCCTTTCAAATAGGAATCCAGGTCAGCTCGCAATATGCATTCAATCGGTCTTCTTTTTCCAAATGAGCATGGGGGCGAGTACGCGAACGCTGCATAGCGGCACATGTGGTGGACGCACCAGACAGCCCCGGATCCTTTGGCCCCTCGGCCCACAGAGCAGCCCGTGCATCACACTCAAGGATTGCGCGTCCTTCCCGGGTGGGTGGGTGGGTCAAAAGAAGGACACAGCTACTCCGGCTGTCATCTTGAGCAGCCGGCGCGGTACAATTGACTCATGACCCCATTCTGCAAAACATCATGCAAAATTCCCACACAGGACAAACATATCGTTTTTCCAGCGGACGCACAAATATGAAACTTGTTTGACATTTATAAACTTCAAGGACGGTAACATTTACCTGTTGCCTACGGAAATAAGGTGATCTCACGTTCCGTGAAATTTCTCTTATTTCCTTATCGGCAATCCTTGAAGGTTATAACTCAAAACAGTCAATCTCAGCAATTTCAATTTCAGAGAATTGATTATCACAAGGATCGAATATTATAGACCTCACCTTAAATATTCAATCCTTTCAAATAGGAATCCAGGTCAGCTCGCAATATGCATTCAATCGGTCTTCTTTTTCCAAATGAGCATGGGGGCGAGTACGCGAAC